ATTTACCTAAGTATTTAAGAAACAGGAAATCTAGTTCCAAAGTCATTCCCTTGAGAGTTATTCACACCACAGCTTGAGTATATTTTGCCTAGGCCTAAGGACCAAGCTGAAAGAGGGCAGCATGTGTGACAGCGATGGAGACAGAGGTGCGCAGGCCAGGGTCCCTTGGAGCAGCCTCAGAGCCAATGCGTCCTCTCCAGGGTTATGCTGTCTCACAGATGGTTCCCGATTCCTCCAAAAGTGCTCTGTCCGTGTGTTTCTCCTTTGCTATCTTTGATGCCAGACCATTTCTCCTGTGAGTTTAGTGCATCCATTTTGTGTTTAGTCCTTAAAATTTAGATTGTCTTCTTTTTAATTTAAAATATTTAATCCAAAAAGAAAAGCTCAAAGTGTACAGAATGATAGCTTAATATATGTACTGTGAAATGTTTAATCAATACAGTGATCACCACCCACAGTTAGCAGTGTGTGTGTGTGTGTGTGTCTGTTTGTATGTGTGTATGTGCTGAGAAAACTTGATACTTGCTGTCATACCAGATTTCAAGCAAATAATATGAATTACTAACTTCAGTCACCTTGCTGTACATTCTATCTCTAAATTATTTACCTTTCAGCTGAAATTATGTACCATTTGACTAACATCTCTTTTACCAATCATCATTACCCAATCATCATTCTACTATCTGTTTCTATGAACTCAAACTTTTTTTTTTAGGAAAGTAGTTGATTTTTGTCAGTTAGCTTTTTTGTTTGTTTTTTGTTTTAAAGATTTATTTATTCACTTGAAGGTCAGAATTATAGGAGAGGAGAAGATATATAGAGAGAAACTCCATCCGCTGGTTCACTCCCTAGGTGGTTGCAACAGTTGGAGCTGGGTCAGGTTGAAGCCAGGAATCAGGAGCTTCATCTGAACCTCCGAATTGGGTGGAAGGGTCCCAAGGACTTGGGCCATCTTTAATTGCTTTCTCTAGGTCATTAGCAGGAACACAAACTGGCACCCATATGGAATGCTGGCATCATAGTTGGCAGTTTAAACTGCTATGCTATAATGCCTGCCCTGAATTTGAACTTTTAAAATTTCTTACGTAAGAGAGATTTTGCAGCATTTGTCTTTCTATTTCTGAGCTATTTCACTTGGAATAATGTCTTTCAAGCTTATGTATGTTTTTGGAAATTGTAGAGTTTCCTTCTTTTCTTTCTGAAACTATACCATTGTGTCTGTGTATGTGTTTGTGTCCTATATTTTCTTTATCCATTCAGTCACCTGCCAATGAACAAGTATGTTATTTCCATATATTGGCTATTAAGAATAATGCTGCAATGAACAGAGTTGCATATAGCTTTTTAGGATACTGTTCTCATTTTAAATTCAGAATTGGGATTGTTGCTAATTATGGTAGCTTTTTTAGTTTTTAATTTTTAGGAGTCTCCATATTGTTTTTGCATAATGGCTGTTCCGACTTACATACCCACTAACAATGTACAAGGACTTTTTTTCTCTGTGTCATCCATAATACCTGTCGTATTTTGTTTTTGATAATAGCCATCTGCACTGCTGCAAGCTGAAATATTGCAGTTTTAATTTGCATGTCCCCAGTGATTGGTACGTTGAGCACTTTTTCATGTATCTGCTGCCTTCTCAGAAAAATGTTTATTCAGGTATTTTGCTCATTTTTAAATTAGCTGTTATTTAGTTAATTTACTTTTTGCTCGTCAGTCATGTGAATTCTTTGTATATTTTGGATACCTATTCCTTATTAGGTGTGTAATTTGCTAATATTTTCTGAATATTATTTGCTAATAATATTTGCTAATATTCTCTTGTTCTATATGTTTCACTTTAATTTTTATTGACTGTTTCCTTTCCTACACAGAAACTTTTTAGTTTGATGCAATGCAACTGTTCTAATCTTTATTATGGCTTTCCTTCTGCTAACTTTGGACTTACCTTGTTTTTCTTTTTCTAGTTCCTTGAGAGGTCAAGTTAAACAATTTATTGATGGTCTTTATTTTTCCTAAAGTCTTATATAAGTACTTATATACACTTCTCTATTCAGGCTTACTGCTTATTATGTATACCATAATTTTTGGTGTGCTGTTTTCCATTTCATTTTCCTCGAGATAAGTTGTGGTTTCTCTCTATAATTGCTCTTTGATCCAACAGTATTTCGAGAACGTGTTATTCAATTTGTATATATTTGTGACTTTTTCAAAATTCCTAATTATTTTTAGTTTGACACCATTGTGGTTTGAAAAGATACTTGATACAATGTCAACCTTTTTAGGTTTTTCAACACTTGTTTTTTGACCTACAATGTGATCTATCCCGGAGACTGTTCGATGTACACATGAGAAGAATGTAAATTCTACTTTATTGGAATGAAATATGTATATATATGTATACATATACATATGTTATGTTCACCACAGTATTATTCTAGCCTGCTGTTTATTTATTTATTTTATTTTTGGACAACCTACTCACTGTTGAGAGTAGGGGTACTGAAGTCTCTATTATTATTATTATTTTCCTATCAATCTTGTTAATATTTGTTTTATTTTTAGTTATCCCAATGTTTAATGATTGTATATAGTTGTCATATTCTCTTAATGAACTGAGTTCATCATTATATGATGGAGATCTTGAGTTTTGTGCTTGATGCATCCCTCTGGTAGCTGCTTCCCTCCAAGAGCTTGTATTCTACACTACGTAACACCTTCCTTAACTGTCAGTCAACCTGGAGTCCATGCCTCCACTCAACCCACCACAGTGTCTGATGAGGAAATATTCAATGCGTATTTCCAGTACCACCACTCCCTTTGCTGGAGTAGCTGTATAGTGGGTGTCCTGACACCACTGCTATGTACACTACACCTATCTGAGCTGCTAGTGTAGCCTCTCTTTGCATGGTTTCTGGTGTCAGAAAGGCTCCCAACCTTGCCATCAAGTGCACTCTGCCAGAAGTCATTAATTAAAGATGAAGAAGCCATAAGGAGACTCCATTAAGGAGCTCAAATGGAACAGTCTATCTTTTAAATAAATAAATAAATATTTTTTAAAAAGAAAAGAGACAAATAGAAATTTTATATATATATCAAAAGCTTAAGAATTCATGTAAAACTACAGTTAAAATCCCCAGCAACAGACTAGATCAAACAGAAGACAGACTATCTCAACCTGAGTACAAGTTTATAAAATATCTCAGTCATAAAAATCAATCAATCAATAATAATTCCAGTCTCTGAGATCTTTGGGATATCATTAAATGAACAAATATTTCAATTTTAGGGGCTTGTAAAGGGGGAAGACATAGAAGACCTACTCAAAGAAATGACACTTGAAAGCTTCCTTAGTCTTGGGAAAGGTGTGGACATTCAGGTACAGTAAGGCCACAGCACCCCAACTAAACATAGTCAGAAGATCTACACCATGGTATAATATAGACAAACTGTCAAAAGTACAACGCAAAGGCAGAATTCTAAAAACTACAAGAGAAAACGTCAAGTCACATTTAAGGAAATTTCCATTATGCTACAACAGATTTCTCAGCAGAAATCTTCAAATAGTAAATGGAATATTTGAAACATATTCCAAGTTTTGGAAAAAAAAATGTGCCAGTGTAGAATATTATACCCAGCAAAGTTATCCTTAATGAAACAAAGAGAAATAAAAAGTTTCCAAGACAAAAGAATACTGACAGAACTCAGCATCTACAGATCAGCTTTACAAAAGATGTTTAAGGGAGTCCAACATTCAGAAGCCAAAGAAAGAGAGCTATCACCATGGAAATGCCCAGAAGTATAAAATCTACTAGAAGAGTGGATATACAAAAGAGAAACAGAAGAAGAATCAAGTTCTTTCAATACTACCAAAGCACAAAGATGAACAATTGAAGAGGCAGAAAAGAAAAAAGGATATTCAAAATGAACAAAATTTTTTAAATGTCAAAAATAATATTAATAAATATAAATAATATAAATAAATATAAATAAAAAACCTTCAGTGTAGATTCTTGAGATTTGAGGAGTTCATGGACACTGCTGTCTCATAATCTCATGCATGATACAGTTTTATAATAAAAAAATCCAGTCTACCAAGTAGTGTGCATGATATATAGGAAATAAATCAAAGATGTGATGCCACATTAATAGTGGTAACTTCTGGAAAAAATTTAGATAATTTTTATGTTTTTCCTTGAGAATATTATGTCTTCTGTAATTATTTTGCATTAGAACGATCATGTGTGCAGACTAAGACACTAACAAACACAAACATGGAATAATAAAGAAGCGAGAGTAGTATTTTTTGAAGTCTGTTGGTTTAAGATTAGAAGTGAAATAAAAAAGCTTAGCTAAATATTAGCTGCTTATCCTAGAAAATAACATGCTTTTATTCTGTTTGAAGATTAGTTTAGATCAGTGGGCACAGAGCTTTTGGACAATGCAGGGCTCCTTATTTAGGGTCTGCCCAACCGTTCACCTTTGTTTTAAAAGGTTGCTTGATTCCTGCTCAAGATGAAGTGAGCAGCTCACTGAACAAAGATAAAAATCTCTTTGCTTGGCTCAGCTCTCCCAGGGCCAACAATACAGCAATTGGAAGCCAAAATGTCAGGAGAGCCAGCACCTCTCCCAGTTTTTCACCTTGGGGAAGCCAAATGTGTTCTTTTTAGCCTGATTTGGAGGGGCTCCATCCCAGAAGGCAGCAGCCACACACAATGAGAGCAGATCAGGCTGGTCCAATGTGGATGGCAGATAATTGTCCCTGGATTCTCTCCTTCAGGGCCTGCAGGCTGGGTAGCCAGACTCTCAGAGTGTGCGGCTTTCCATCCCTAAACTCCTGCCCAGTAATTCTCTCCCTCCTGTCTCCAGAGAGGTGTCTCAGTTTTGAGCTGCTGTTGTGATCCTGTACACAGTTCTAACCTTGTATCTCCAGATGGAAAGCTGAAAACTGAAACCGACCCCTGGAAAGTCCCGGCCTGTTCTCGGAAGCATGCACCTACCCGAGCCGGAGGGTGTCCTGTGTGTTCACACTGCCTCTTCCAGGGCTCAGGATTCCAGCGAATGTCCGTAGCTGTGGTGTTTCTGGGGTGGCTGAGGGAGGCCAGTGTTACAAGCATTGCTCAGAACATGCAGCCTCCCCAGGCACCTCTCTCTGGCTTAGAGTCAGGCTGATTTGGGTTGTGTAATCAGTCCCAGGAGGCGCACTTTGTTAGCCCAGGAGATCTTCAGTCAGTGGTCATTGAAACAAGACTTCATGAACCGTCTTGCAAGATTGGGTGCCTGGTGGGCTAGCACACCGCGGGTAGTTTACAGTGAGCTATTTAGTGCCTAGCATGTAAGTCCCTCCTCCAGTTACTCATTGGCTGAGTACTACAAGATTACAATCTTCCTGGCATTTGCTTCAGCTGTTTGGACCTCTCCTAACTAACATCTTGTTTACCTAAAAACTATCCAGGTGTGTGTAACCTTGCTGTTACGCTAGCTAGGTACTTGTAACTTTCCACACATCTGCAAGCTGTTATGCTAGTTAGTTGTCTACTCACAGCCAATACCTTACTTTGAAGATGAACCAAATATTTACTTTTCATGGTCACCATGGATGGTTATGATGATATCAGTTCAAAAAAAAAAAAAAAAGTGTAGGTGAAGAGTCATTTTGTGGTAGCCAGGATTCTCAAATGGCCCCGAGATGCATGTACAAATGATTTTCTCCCACTGACTGTAACTTGTGAATATGATGGGATATCACTCCTCTGATGATATCAGAAATCAGCTGACTTGCTGGAGGGGATTGGCCTAATGAAGTTGGTACTAAAAAAGTCCTGGACCGCAGGCGCCGTGGCTCAATAGGCTAATCTTCCACCTGTGGTGCTGCCACACCGGGTTCTAGTCCCGGTCAGGGTGCCGGATTCTGTCCTGGTTGCTCCTCTTCCAGTCCAGCTCTCTGCTGTGGCTGGGAAGGCAGTGGAGGATGGCCCAAGTGCTTGGGCCCTGCAACCCACATGGGAGACCAGGAGAAGCACCTGGCTCCTGGCTTTGGATCAGTGCGGTGAGCTGGCTGCAGTGGCCATTGGGAGGTGAACCAACAGAAAAGGAAGACCTTTCTCTCTCTCTCTCACTGTCCCCTCTGCCTGTCAAAAAAAAAAAAAAAAAAAGCAAGCCCTGGACCATTCTTGAAAGACAAATTGAAAGCATGAGAATATGATGGAGCCAAAGAGGGGCACACATCAAGGAATTCAGAGCAGGCCCCTCAAGGAAATGATCACTCTGCCCCCTCCTGAGTGAGCCTAGGAGAGGTCCCAGGCAGAAGGTGAGACCCAGTCCTATCTGGCTTCTTGATTTCTACTTGGGGAGACAGACCCAGCTGACGCCCCAGACTCCTGACCTATGGATATTGTGAGATAATAACTTTCTACTGTTTTAAGTTGTTCACTTTGTGATAATTTGTTAGAGAGTAATTAGAAAACTAATACACATGAACAACCATGCAGCGTCTCCTTACATCTCTTCCTGCTGTGGTATAAATGTTGCTGTTCCCATCCCCCTTCATTCACGTGTTGGAATACTAAGCCCCAGGTGGTGGCCTTAGGAGGTGGGCCTTTGTGGAGTGATTAGGTCATGAGGGTAGAGCTTTTGGAACTGGGATTAGTACCCATGTAAAAGACCTCAGAGAGCGGCCTTGCCCCTTTCAGACGTGAGGATGGGCTTCAAAAGTGCCGTCACTGTCCTTAGTGTGTTGTCCAATGTGAATTGATGCTATAACTAGTACTCAAACAGTATTTTACACTTTATGTTCCGTGTGGTGCAAACTGATGAAATCTTTACTTAATATATACTAAATAGATCCTCTGTATATAAAGATAATTGAAAATGAATCTTGATGTGAATGGAATGGGAGAGGGAGTGGGAGATGGGAGGGGTGTGGGTGGGAGGGAAGTTATGGGGGGAAAGCCATTGTAATCCAAAAACTGTACTTTGGAAAATTATATTTACTAAATAAAAGTGTTTATAATAAATAAATAAATAAATAAATAAAGGAAAAATAAAAGTGCCGTCACTGAACCTGAAAGCAAGCTTTTCCCCAGACACTGAGTCTACCAGCACCTTGATCTTGGAATTCCCCAGCCTTCAGAACTATAAGCAATAAATTTATGTTCTTAGTCACCAAGTTTTGGGCATTTTTATTACAGCAGCATGGATGAACTAAGACACTCTTTCAGTGACAGGGAACTTCCTTGTCTTTCAGAGCTGCTCATTCAACTGTTGGAATGGTGTTGAGGCATTGTGCTACTTTTAATGAAGAATTGTAATTATCTCTATAATTTTTACTCATTGACATCATAAATGTATATTTTGGAGTGACCCCCCCAAAATTCTGCATATATTAGTCTTTCTTGTATTTATTTATTTGAGAAGCAGAGTTACAGAGAGAGAGAGAGAGGAAGAGAGAGAATGAGTGAGAGAGATCTTCCATATGCCAATTCACTCCCCAAATTGCTGTAACATCTGGGGCTGGGCCAGGCTGAAGCCAGGAGCCCAGATCTCAAGTCATTCTCACCTCCTGCATGGGTGCAAGGGTCCAGATACTTGAGCCAACTTTTGCTGTTTTCCCAGGTGCATTAGCTGGGAGCTTCATTGGAAGTGAAGCAGCCAGGACTTGAGTTGGTGCTTATATGGAATACCAGCTTAACCCACTATACCACAATGCAGGCTGCAGCTGTTAGTTTTTCAATAATCTGAAGACAGTACTGATGAGATACCAAGGTCTAATTTAAAAAAAAATCCAAACTGCTTTTGAAGCCTTTTCTGTGTAATTCACCAGACTATGCAGATTGTCACTTTTAAAACATTGGGCCTAGAACATTACTCTAGAAATGATCTTATAAGCAGATCCTGTGCTTTCATCAACCCTCTTCTGGGTTGATGAAATGAGTAGCAATGAGTAATTTGATGAGTATTTATCTTAGTTGGCTGACCTGGAAAACAGACCACGCACAGAGCATCATTTGCAAAGATTTAGGCAGGAAGTGCTCCCAGGAACACCACCAGTGAGGCACTGAGGAGGCAGAATTCAGCAGAGGAAATACCTAAGTGCAATGTAGGTACAATAGAGGCCTCAGCCTCCCCCACAGGGAGCTCTGGAGCTCTCACGGTCCTTCCAAATGACTCGACTGCGGAAATGGCACTGGGCCTTTGTACCACATCACACAGCCACTGATGAGTTCACTCCTGGGAAGGACGTGTAAGTGTGTAGGAAGCCAAGAGCTTCAGCTGAGATCACTTTTCAGTCTGTGAGATCTTGGCTGACAACACCAATAACAGCTGGGGAAGGAGAGTCTTAGGGGATCTGGGTGGTACCCAACTACTGTTGGGTCTTACAGTTGATTAGGCTACCAAGATCCACTTACTTCATATAACATTCCATGCTATTAGAGAAGAGTTCCTCTAGGATTCTAATTTCACTTCTTGGGAAACTAAACAGAAGTTTAGTGGCATGAACTATAGCCTCTTGTCTTTGAAATTTACCCTTGAAATGCCATGCATACTCACTTTCCTACATAAGTCAATTTAGATTCTCTTTACTCCCAGTTAGTATCTCTGCTGGTGGAGATGGACATTTTTGATAAGGTGACTCAGCAGTGAAAGGTGGGATCCCCCAGTCACCATACCTTCTTCAGGCCACATTCACTGGCTGTCCATTTGCTCATCAAATCGGGCAGGGAGGCAACAAGCAATGCGCAGTGAATCACTTGGATTCCCATGTGTGCTTCCCTGGCCCCACTGTGAAATTCCTTATGATTAGGGAAAATTTTCACTAACAAGAGGTTAACTCTTCTTTGTTTATCTTTTGGCACCAAGAACCTGAAGAAACAGGGTGGAAGACATGACTTAAAGTTTAAAATGATTCTTTCTTGTTCTCTGATGAAACAATTCCCTATTAGGAACTGGGATCTCTACTGACAGAGAACTTAAAATTGGGGGAAGAAGAGAGTATTCTCCAGGTGGTTCTCTGGGTATAAAAGAAAGCAGAACTGTCACTTTCACCTCTTGCTTTCCTGAACTGTGGCTGTAGCAACTGTACAGGTGGTTGATTCAGCTGTTCTGGTGGATATTGCTGTGGGTGATCCTGTAAGACAGCCTGCCAAGCCCATGCAGGAGGTTAACCTGACTGCTGGCAGGTGGCAGGTGGTCTTGCAGGATCACCCACATATCGCAGAAGGTCATAATCAAGAGGTCACCTCAGCCTTCCAAGGATTTTTGACTTTCCTAACATGTAGGCAGTTTCCAAGGGCCGTTGTATGCAGTAGTGTTCATGGTTACCATAGTTGCATGCCCATTGACACACTTCTTTTCTGTAAAGCAATGCTCTTAGGTAGATGTCATGTTATATAAGATTCTATTGTAGTGATCAAAACCCTGTAAGTCATCAGGGAAGGTAGCTAGATAAGACCCTGTGGACACACACACATGCATATGTGTGTATATATAAATACCAAGATTATGTGTCCATTTTGCTTAGATGAAATGCTGATCTTTCCACTGATTCCACCAGAATGAAAGAGTTTCAATGTAATGGACTCGCCAGTAAGGGAATAACTGGGTTCCTCCCGTAATGGTAGTGTTATCAGGAACTTAGTATTGCTCTTTTTGGGGGGCAGGGGGCTGCTGGTTAGATATTTCTCAGTGGCCTTTCTAAGCGGAAGTCCCATGAATAGTCTCCACTTCTGTCACCAAAATGTCTGCATTAATGTGCCGTGGTGCAAGCACTGAGTGGCTGGTGTTGGAGGTAGGTTCAAATCACAGTGGAAAAATTCTGGTGGTCATTAATATGTAATATGAAGGTCTTAACCCTTTGTACCTGTCTCCATGGATATATTCACATGCCTCTTTTGTGACTTGCTTGTAATAATCTTCCAATCATTCTAATTCCAATCCCCAAGTTAGCAAACTAAACCTTTCATCACCATCAATGAGTTAGTATAAATTATTACTTCAGGCTACTTCTATATCCTCAGGATGTGGATGTCCAAGTTCACCACTTAAAGCCTCATTTATTGGGAAGATTTTGACTCACTACTATCTTTCAGCGCTATATCTGAGTCTGAGTGGGGCTACAGTACAGCAGCAATTCATTTTTGGCTTACATAAATATAATCAGTCAACCCATCCATGAACCAGTTTTACTGGCAATAAGGGACCCCACACTGCTATGGCTATGAGCTGAGGTACAGCAGTAGCTCCAGGGGTAGCTCCAATGGTAGCTCCTTGCATGTGTAGGTTACTTTGGCCTTTGACCTGGTCCATGCCAATATCTAAATGTACTTCTTCTGTTTGTGATGGATTGCTGTTAAGCCACCAAAACCTTTGTCTTGGTTGCTTCGAGAAAAAACAGCTCATGATAGTCAATCTAGCCCTGGAGTCATTGTGTCTCACAATTAGTTGGTCTGTCTCTCCCAGGGCATAGTGGCATGCCAGATTCTATTTTTCAAATGATAAAATCCTATCATGGCCTTTCTCCAACACCTCAGTGTTCATTGTTGTGATTCTGCTATTGAATCTTCTCACAAATGCCAGAGTGTCTTCTCCCACCATAAGTACCTCTGATACCATTGGTCTGCCAGGGTATGTAGGCCAAGCAGCAGGGCTACTGGCATCATGGCCAAGATCAGAATCATTTTGTAGCTGGCACCCAAAGCAGGCAGCAATCTGCGTCACCCAAAACTGGTCAGAGCAGTATTCCTAAGATAACTGAGATGGCTCCATGTCCTACAGAGGCCAATCAAATGCTGTGCTAATTTTATAGTCATGAACATTTGATA